TAATCCTCTCTCTCTCACATACTGTGTACCCCTACCTACCAGAACAACTGTGTATCCCTACAGTTCAATCGGCATGTTCTTTCTTTCTTTCTCAGGTTTCGGTCTCCAACCCATACCTCCACCTCTAAATCACCTCACTACTTCTTCCTCCCTACCTCTGTGCACCTTAGTTAACCTAAAACACAAAAAATACAAAATACATTGCCATAAATAAGTTTGAAATTCCAAATTCTCCTTACCTTTTGCTTCCGTACTCCTATGTCTCACAAAATCTACTGCGGCCTCACCTCTTCCAGGAAATTCTGGTCAATCGGCTCTCACCCTAACTCGTTTCCTTCTTTTTCTCGCTCACTCTTTTTTTTTCCCTTTCTTCGTTTTCCTCTCTCTCTTGCTCACTCTCTATTTTCTCTTTTGCACTTTTTTTTATTTCTTCTTCCTCTTTCTTCTCTGTTTGATCTATCCTTTTATACCCAACCCAAGCCCAAATCTTGACTGTTGAAATACCCACTTAATCCTAGTCGTCCATCTTACTCTCGCTTAACTTATTTATCTAGGCTATTACAATATCCCCCCCTCCCTCCTTTTAAAAGAAATTTGGTCCCTCAACTTTCGTTACACTACATTACCTTGAAAAGTTATGAATAGTTGATTCTCATCTCGTTTTCTCGTTCCCAAGTTATCTTCTCCTCATAGTGATGTTGTCATAGTACTTTCACCATCAATACTGTCTTACTTCTTAATTTTCTTTATTGTAGTTCCATGATACATATTGGTTTTTCCTCATACATCCAGTCCCTCTCTAATTGCAGCATTTCATGATGTATAATGTGTGTCGGATCAGGCTGATACTTTCGTAACATCGAAACGTGAAACACATCATGTATCCCGGCATACTTCGAAGAAAAAGCAATTCGGTAAGCAATTGTAGCTATTCTTTCAAGAATCTCAAAAGGCCCGATAAAATGAGGGCTTAGTTTTCCCTTCTTTCCAAATATGAATAAATCCTTCATTGGTAACACCTTCAGAAACACATGATCACCGACATCAAACCCCAAATCCCTCCTTGTATTATCCGCATACCCTTTCTATCTACTATTGGTTGCTTAGAAGTTCTTCTTTTTCATTGATATCTTAGCAGTCGTCTCCTCTACCAACTCTGGAGTAAACAATAGTCTTTCTTCAACCTTATCCCAACAAACCGATGACATGTGTCTACCATAAATAGTCTTATATGGGGGTCATCCTAAGACTAGCATGATAACTATTGTTGTAAAAGAATTCTATCAACGGTAGCATCTCTTCCTAATTTTTTCCAACATCCAAAATGCATGACAATAACAAAGCTTTTAATACCTGTATAGTTCTTTCAGATTGCCCATCTGTCTTGGGATGGAAAGCCATACTAAAATTTAGTTTCGTGTCCATTACTAACTGTAAACTTCTCTAAAATATAGAAGTGAATCTGGGGTCCTTATTCGAAATAATGGAGACAGGGATTCCATGCAGTCTAATTACTTCTCTCACATATAACCGAGCGAGATGGTTAACTAAGTCTGAAACCTTCATAGCCAAAAAATATAAGGATTTAGTCAGCCTATCCATAATTACCCAAATACTATGTTGGTTCCTGCGGTTTCTTGGTAAACCTGTCATAAACTCTATTGAAATGTGCTCTCACTTCCACTCCACTATTGGTAATGGTTACAATAATCCCTCGAATTTCCGATGTTTCACTTTTACCTGCTGACACGTCAAACATTTTGACACAAACTCAGTAATGTCCCATTTCATCCATGCCACCAATAATGCTTTTGCAGATCTAGATACATCTTAATACTCCCTAGATGCATGGCAAATCTCATGTTGTGTTCTCCCTTGAGAATTTTTTTTCTGTAAATCACTGTCATTGGGCACACACATCCTATCCCTATACATGAGCACTCCATTACGATGTAAGCTAAATTCAGCCAAAGCACCTTGCTCCACTCCTTCCTCGATCAATTGTAGACTAGAATCGACCATTTGACACTCTTTAATTTTCTAAATTGGGATTGGTTGGACTCTCAAGTTGGCTACATACTTACCTCGATATTGTTTTTTAATTTCCACTTGCTGCATGACTCTACGTAATTCCCACTCACTTACCATCAAATGTATCAACATCCTGGAACTCTTTCAGCTGAGAGCATCAGCTATTACATTTTTTTCCCTGACTGATAATGGATTTTGCAGTCAAAATCTTTTAACAAATCCATCCACCACCTTTGTCGCATATGTAAAGGCCCGGAACTTAAAAAAAAAAATCATAAATTAAGTATGGAAGTGAAATAAAAGAATTTAGGATTTACATTCTTTACACAATAATTTAAAATGGTCAATAGGACTATAGGAATGACCCTTCTAAAAGAATAAATAAAAATTAAAGAAATAAA